CCCCAAAACCCCAAAACCCCAAAACCCCGACTCATTGATTATTTGTACATAGGATAAAACAGATAATAATTAAAATGCATAGAATAATGATTTATAAGAGAAATCAATTTAATCATTTGAAATCAATATCATCATAGTTTTAACCTTGAAAAAGTTCAGATATGAGGATTGCCTTTAAGAAAATCATCAAAATCTACGATACTCCAATCTTAAAAGTTGAAATCTTCTAATGACTTCCTTAGATTTTAAGCATTTAATTCAAATTCTGGGTATTGACCTTCAAACTTAACAAAATGAATTTCTTCGTCTATAGCTTAATCGTTTGAAATAAGTTTATTGCCTTCTTTGCTAATCAAGTTTAGTTTATAATTTGTTTTGAACTTTACAACTAACTATAGATTAATCCCACTTATTTTAATGTTACTTTTATCTTGCTTTTAGAAGCCAAGTAGGCTTTGTAATGATTCTAATGTATTTCCTTTTGTATACATTGTCATATTCGGCAAATCTAGCATTAAAGGACTGAAGACTTTAATCATATCTTTTCTATTTTACTTTCTGCTAATACTTGCCCCAAAGTAATGATGGAAATCTACTAACTCTAATGATATTCTATGATGCCTTTCATTGATTAGTGCCAGCTAATACTTTTGATCTCTTAATTTATCCATACTGTTAAGGAAAGCATCACCCATTAGGCCTTCACAGCCAGATGATACCATCTCATAATCATAGATTGCTAATGATTATAGTAATGTTTTGAAGGCATAGGTAAATCCTTCTTTTAAAGCAAATCTATTTTGTCCGATTATACTTCTAAACTAATCAAGTAGTTATTGATTAGTTTTATCTCTTGTATTTATGATTGGCTTAATATTTTCGAATTAATAAGGGAATACAAGATTATTTGGTTTTGTCAGAGATCCAAATAGTCTACGAGAAAATTACTATCTATTGATGCTTGCAGATTAAATTTTTTGCAAAGTTTACCTCATTAATGGCTTAAAATTTTAATTATTCTTTAATTTTTAAAAACTTAGAGTCGGATAATTTTCATCATAAGGGGTTTTGGGGTTTTGGGGTTTTGGGG